TAATATTCGCAGCTTGTCGAAAGCCTCGAGCACGTCACTCACAGTTCCAATTTTGCTGTGCTTAACCGCCCTGCCACATTGCCGATTAATCCAGAACTTTCCGGGAAGCTTGGATCGAACCCACACCTCACTGTTCCTATCTTGGAACACCTGAACTGTAACTATAGGTCCATCCTGCAGAATCGGCAGATTCCTATATCTCCGCTAACGAGCTCGCCAGCGGACCCAAACGCAAATTCTGACCGTGCGCATTCAGACATGTACCTTCACCGTCAAGAGGTCCATTATGCCGTTGCCATCAGAGCTATCACCACACAGGCACCGCGGCGGCATAACTTCAGGAATTGTGGTCACAACGCCGCAGGAGGTGACCTTCCTCCACATTCCACAAAATGCGAAGAAACGACACTTCATTATTCCTGTAGGGGCACAGGTAGCGTAAAATCTTCAGAGTTTATTTAGTAGCCAAATACAGGCGCTTTTCTAGCGCTTCAGGCATCCCGAACAGGAGCTCATAAAATTTCATCATTAACGAATGGAAGGTCTCAATTATCACACACTTATCGAAACGGAATCGTTTATCACCCACGAAGGGCGGAAGGTCTCGACTAAATGAAGTTGACAAGAAAGAAGAAGCTTAAGCGAATTAGAAAGAGATTAGAAGGGACATGTGGAAAACAACAGAAACGGAGACACTTTCGCAAGAGATTGCTTACACGAGACGTCGGCCGCCCGGACGTGAGACATGGAATTATGAAGATTCTGTCTACATAATAACTTATCCTCACAATGAAGACCCGCAGTCGGACACCGCGTGGAGTGTAGGAGCTCTGTGGTGGGGCGCTCAGGAACGAAGCCCATAGTCACGCGAAATCACACAGGACTTTAGACGAGCACACATGTTCGCCAGAAGACCCCCCTATAAAGAGGAAATCATTTGAATGAACATAAACCCGCTTCAACGAACAGGAATTGACAAGGCAATCAAAGCCGACAATACGTTCATCTCTTTACTTTCATACAGGACTAGACTCAAAAACGGATATTATTATATTACATAATTCAATCGGTAACATTTTCAAGAAACATTTGAAATTAAGATATATGGGCCTAGAACCGTTTTTTTCACACTCAACTCGAAATAATCAACTTTCTCGTCAGCTGCTATTGCTAAAGTCGTCTTACATCGATTAGTGCCAGTGATATAGGAATTAATTTTTGACGAAATATAACCGAAAGAGGCTCGGAAACAGACTATTTCGTCACAACATTAGCATGATAAAGGTTTTACAAGCATAATGTGGTGGCATAATTCGGCGTTTACAATCACTACAACATAACCATACCCTAGGGTACGCGGTGCAATTCGATTCATTGGTTCACTAGACGCACTAAACAACGTCAACTCACATGACACGAGTTAGCATGTGCTAGAAAAATATAATTTATTTAACATCTAAGAAGCTCTTTTGTCAGTTCGTATTGCGAAGAGACTTGGCAAGTAAGCGGAAAATAGAAGGTCAGAAGCAAGAGAATAAAATGGAGAAACTAGCAAATAAATGGACAAGGAAAACCAATTGAGTGCCACGAGTAATGAACTAAACTACAATCATCTTATAAACATCCCCGATACGGATGCACGAAAATCGAATAAACATTATTTCAAATCGAGATGTATAGGTATAAACTATAAGAATTCTAATCATTCTGGCCCTTGATTCTTTGGAAAAGTCCGGCACAGGGAGCATGAGCGCGCGTACACCACGCCTCCTTGTTGTTGTTGTTGTAATTGCCCATCCTGGTAGTGGCGACTAGGGAGGGGGGTGATAGGTCAGTTTTTCCGGGCACTCGGTACCACTGGTAGTTCTACGACCATCACTTGCTCGCTGACCCGCCAGAACCATTTTATTGCATTACACAACACCCTGGACAAGCCAGGTACTCCTTTATCAACCACCACGCCTCCTTCATCTGGCGAGGTTCATGGCAAATTATTTGCTGATACTTCAGTTATGATCGTCTTTACTGCATGTCTGTGCCACAAGCGTTAGCTTCAATCAGGCTCAGTTGAAATAATTAATACGTACTGATGATAAGATCATAAAGACAGGAACAGCTCGAGGGCATGGAACAGACGGTAACTATAGTAGAAGACATGCAATAGCTGCAGGCAAGGAGGTGATTGATGCTGACTGAATGAGAGAACAGCTCCCTCAAAGGTGCAAATATTTATAAAGCAAACAACCAGCAAAAGTGAGCAATAACCCGCATGTGGCATGCAATGCTAATTAACTACAGTGCAGCTGAGTAGGTGTATTACCAACATTTTCACGACAGGAAACTTCAAATTCGATGATATATCATTACTTTTAGGCAACAAACATTTAAGCGTGCGCACGACCCTTAACATCTCGCCAATCAAGTGTCTGGAGAGGAGTACACGCAAACCACTTGTTATCGTAGAATCTGACCCTTAATGAGGGCTAACGAGGCTTCCATTTACAGCTGTAAGAAAGCGTTAAATAAACTTGTCGCTCACAGCTATAGAGAAGCATTATCAGTTCAAACTTTAGTCAGCGTAAGCCAAGTGTTTTTGACTCGGCAGCACGCAGAGAAGTCGGAGATCTGTCTTCACTTATAACTAACTTTAGCAGGTGTTACGTTCTTGACCAGCCGCTATAGGTGAGATCCGCAATGCGGAATTTATCGAAAGATAGCAGATGTTAAGCATTAACACTGTAATTTTTTGGCATATTCTCATTGTTCAAAGTGTTTATAAACCCTTCCCATACTCCTAACCTATGTTGACGATTTGTTCAGGCACATGGCCCCGCACATAACCAATCGACTTCTTCAAAAGCCCGGGAACCAGTGAAGAACCGCAAAGATTTTTTAAATTAATTTTTCTTGAAAACGCTCTACGAAGTAAAATCGCAGTGGGTGAAGATTAATATATCGAGGGGCTTCTGTTTACTTTTCTCCAGCAACATAAACCACTTTAAGTTTTATTTAGTGCTTATTGTTTACAACGAAAGGGGAGTGTACCTCAAAGCGTGTCACGTAGCCTGACCCAAGATAAGCGAGAGCAGCATTAATAACAGAATGGATAACTAGGGCTCTAGATCTTAAGCTATTTCGTACCGAAAGTCGAAAATAAACATCACCATACAAGGCGGAAGGTCTTAATTTTTCGAAATTTTTAAATCAATCATCACCAATAAGGGACTTAAAAGACCTTCATAAGAGATCGCTTACATGGGATGTCGGCCGTACGCACGAGAGAGACAGAGAAGAAAAATTCAAGAGATGCTGCCTACGTAACAACTTAGCATCACAATTCTGACAAGCAGTCGGACACCGCGAGCTCTGCGGTGGGGCTCAGGAGATGAGTGACAAGATAAGATACAGGGACATCAAAAAGCACTGTGCGAGGAGCAAGAAGAGTGCTCGGCTGCCCAAGGAAGGCGTGGAAATACAGATTTCCCGGACCCAAGCCGGCAAGGAACCGGCAGTAAACAAATTTTAAAGCGGCATCAAAATAGGTACTTGGCAGATCCATATTCAGGTTTTACATTTAAATCGATACCAAAAAAAACTCGTTTCGTAGTCGAGGATGCGGAAAGCAAAGCCTAGCTCAACCCAGCACTGACATTAGTCTTCGCCCGTCACAGACTTTCAGCTCGGACCAGAGCTTGCCGGCAATTTTATGGTTGAAACGGAAATGAATGAAGTTTGCGAACATTAGTGCCATCCTAAGACTGCTTATCGTTTAGAAATTCCAGTGAAATAAATTCATTTGTAAATTCCAGTAAAATTCATAAAATTCATTCTGCACTCAGATCACCATTTATTCGCATCATCACTAATGGCGTAATCCTTACATTCAATTATTAGAAGATATCACTGTAGCCCCAAGCCTTAGGCGTCTAGGTTACACATGATAGCAGTGAGAAGTGCTTAGTGCTGTGCGTCGGCCATGATTAGGTTACACATGATAGCAATGAGAAGTGCTTAGTGCTGTGCGTCGGCCATGAGGGGTCTAGGTTACACATGATAGCAATGAGAAGTGCTTAGTGCTGTGCGTCGGCCATGAGGCGTCTAGGTTACACATGATAGCAGTGAGAAGTGCTTAGGGCTGTGCGTCGGCCATGAGGCGTCTAGGTTACACATGATAGCAATGAGAAGTGCTTAGTGCTGTGCGTCGGTGAAACAGTTGTTTGGAGCTTTAGACGAACAACAAGGAGACGTTCAGAAAATTCTTTTAACATGGCAACTTCTTCACCCTTAGTCAACGGATACATTAAAAAGCGTCAATGTAATTCGAATGCAAAAAGGCCCAGCAAATATTGCTACCGTTAGTAGCCAGAGTTAATATCAATAAACAAATACACATCTCATCTATTGCAAAAAAAAGTTACACTATCAACACAATTCATGGTAATCATTGGGTCGCCATGCTCACGCAAAGTTACGGATCTTGGTAAGTTGATAGAAACGATGAACTTACGAAATTAAACCCACACACGGACATTGACTTACAGTGCATGTAAACATTTCGGAAGAACCTTTGGAATGTATTTTGCAAGAAAGCCCGTTGTGTCCTCATTATATTTTCTTCACATTTTTTCCAAACACATAATTCATGGTGATTTGAACAATTGCAAATAAACACATTAAGTTAGACAGAAACACAAAGAGTCATATGGAATAACCAAATATAAAATGTATAAAAAAAAATTTTAAAGACCACGTTTTTCATGTGGACTCAATAATATCCTCTCGAGGATGACGTGCATTAAAGGTTCCAACCCCTGCTTGTGAGTTACTTTAGAGTTTATACGCCTGGAAACGTGCAACAAATTATTGATTATTGTATTGTTATCGGGAGCTGAGCTTCCCTAAAAGTTTCAGAGCGCTAGCTAATGGGAAAATTGGTGAAATATCGATTGCAAGATTTGATCATCACAGACACGAAAGCGAGCTAAGAAAAACGTAGTAAAAAATCAGGAGAACGGTGCATTCAAGTTAATTGAACGTTTACCACTGTAGTCAGTTAGAAGTCTCACACTGAAAGACCCCTTTCTTTTCAGTACTGCAAATTTTTAATAGAAAGCGTCTATTTATAAAGCAGCATTTCCCCCGGTTGAGAATATCTAGAGAAGATATTTGTGACAGAATGTGTGTGAAGGCAGTTGCAAGTAAGGTTAAGAAAGTCTAATGGAATGTTTTGAAGCAGAATTTTAAATTAATGGAATAATGAAAACCGTGCATAATTGAATGAAAAAAATGTTGTTTGCAATTATTTTGAAAATGTTAGACAGTTTGTGCCAACCTTGAAGTTCTAAACAGCGGAGCCGACATTCACGCTAGATAAGTTTTGCGGCAGACAAATTCACTAGATGGCAATGCCGCTGCTACTGCCATAAGAAATTAGTGATGGATTATTGAAGATATTTTGTACAATTACCCTAAAAACTATCCAGAACGGACACTCAGCACCGCTATCGAATCTGCTTCATGAACACTCGATACGACACGGGCAGCACCAACAACTTAAACTAAAAGTATCAATGTACAACAAGGGCGCAATAATCCGAAAATTTTCACAACCAAATATGTGTTGAGCGAAAATATCAAAGAAACCTATTCAGAGCAAATAAATACATTTTAGAATTAATTTAATAAATTGTGAACAACCATTGAACAAAAGGGAACTGTTTGTAGTTGAAATAGCTGGTAACCACAGAAGGCTCCTACAGCTGGTACTAAAAGCAACAGCTAAAAAGAGTGCTGTCACAAGACAGCTGAGCCGAGGCTGAAACTAGAACAAGCAAGGAATGAATATACCATGAATGCATTGCCTAAGTACATTGCGTGTATGAAGAAATTTATCTTCAACCTCCTCGACGTTATGCGCAGTTAGCAAACATAGAGTGCACACAACCACATATAATGCAGGGGGATATTTTCAATGAGTAATCTCTATTGTAAGAGAGTTTCGTATAGCGCGCGCAATATTCATAGGAGGACTCTAGATATTTTCTGTAGTTTGCACTCGTTTCTTTGGCATTCATGAAAGTTTATGGAAAACTGGATATTTTAATATCATGAGCTGAAGAGAGCAAAGCACGCAAAAGGGCGCAACATTTAGATACTTTTCGCTGCATGAAGAGAATCTCTTCATGCAGTTTCTCACTCAGAATTAATAATTTTGGTTAGTGAATATGAAATGCTTGAATGTGCTGAAGCTGCCTTTTTTCACTTGGTGACACAGCAGCAGCTCTTCACTTGGTGACACAGCAGCAGCTCTTCACTTGGTGACACAGCAGCAGCTCTTCACTTGGTGAGGATGCAGTGGTGGTTGGTGAGGAGAGCTTCAACAAAGACGTTGACAGCTTGCATGGAAGAGAGCGAGATCTGCTGGCTGCCTCCGACGGGCGGGCGACACAAGTTGGGCCCGAACACGACAGCCAAGTTGCCTGCCGTCATCTTGTTCAAATCAGCCCGGTCCATGACCTGCAGACATAACAATACAACTGGCATGTTCATAGCACACATAACATTACAACTGGCATGTTCATAGCACACATAACATTACAACTGGCATGTTCATAGCAGACCATCACCTGCACACATAATACAACCAGCATGTTCAAAGCAGAGTGCAGAAGAGCGTACCACCATACCATTAGAAAATAAGAGACTCAGAATGATGATTAATCGTCAGTGACTACATATAAGTGAGTTATCAGCAATTTTGATATCGAAATATCGGCGTTGTTTGGAAAAAATTTCGATTCTTACAGTTATGAAGGATCACCTCTTAATCTTACAGTTAACTTTGAAAGTTTCTATCAATTACTAGTGATATTTTATTGCTCAACGTCAATTCTTTAATTTTATTGGCAGAATTAAAAAAATGAAGGTAGCTAGAAATGGATTTGCCCCCAGCTATGAATCTAATCTGGGCAAGTAAACTTGAAGAAAATGTTACCTTGGCCAAGAAGTTAACTATGAACTTAAGTACAAGGTAATTGTCCTCTGGAAGCTGCTCCAGAACAAGAGCTCGACACGCCCCCACACGTTGGCTCTTCTCAAGACCTGCACAAGAATTCAGTCTATTTAGATAGCAAACACTCTTGGTACACAGAATTAACGAAACAATGATGAGATGAGTGTCGAAGAAAATAAAAAATATTCAACGATACAACACAAATACAGTAATGATCAACTCGCCCTGAACATGGTTTTGGATGTATGCCCATTAAGGCAGCATGCAGCGTCCACACTGACTAATTCAAGAGTTCTGTGACGGAAGGATAGCTTACTGTGCATGGCAAGCACTTGTTCGTAGAGGCAGTAAGGTATGAGCGGCTCCTCGAGCTCCCTCAGGAAAGTCTTGATCATGACGGCTGCGAGGTGCACATCGTTTACAGGCTCAAACGTGATCACCTCGCCAGCGTTGCAGCGACGCTTCACGTCCTCGACGCTCGACGCCACCACAGACCGTCGGAACAAGCCTTCCGTCTCCAGAGCTGTTGTAGAAAACACATTAAATTTCAACAATAATATGGGCTAAACTCTTCTAGAATATAAGCACCGTCCTAAATGCTATTCAAATTCAACTAAATATCCCAACGCAAATAGTTTCTGCAATCTCATAACCTTAACCTTAAACCTTAGTCATAAACCACTAAATCATAATTATAGAAGCAGAATTACATAACCCATCTACATTGATAAAAGCAATGAGAGCATGGCTTGGCTAGCCTGGCTAGGTAAACAGGGAACAAACAATAATAGGGATGCCTCACCGTCAGGATGGTCAAGGTAAGTGATGCACTGCTTCAGTATGGACGGTATGGGGTCCTGGTCGTTGTTATTCTTAATGAACTGCAGACTCACGCCCCCGAACTGATGGCGCGGCGACACTTCTTTGCTGCTCACTTGGGGAGCTCTCAGCGGTGCTCGTAACTTGGATACCAACAGCGCGTCATGCCTGAAATGTGCGCGCCACACGTGAAAATCAGAAGAAGAATTTTCATCCTGTTCAGGATTTTTGATATTCCAAACAATAAATATGATTATTTAAAAATCCGAATATACTTCCAAAATAAAAATTATATAAAAACATAATGTGGTTTTAAACTAAAATGGTTAATATGGCAGACATGAGGTATTAAGAGTATACTACTAAAGTAATTTTATGATGATGACGAGTAATAAGGCTAAGAGAACATACTCTTTAACGCAAGCCGGGATGGGCAGCTGCTTGAGGTCAATATGCTGCTGCAGTTCTTGGAGGTAGTTTACATAGAGCAACTTCCGACCGAACTTTGCGCTGGAAGAATATAGATTAATTATTCACAATCACGGCCATTGTCACCCTGCCTCACCCTAATCTTGCTTAGATTATTGTAAGAGGAATATGTCGAGATAAAAGATTCTTAAGATACAAATAATTCATGAACAAAAAGATTAATTTGGCTATCAATGTTAAATAAATTCTATCAAAACTACAAGCAAGCCATTTTATGACCATACTTAGAAAATATATGCATGTCAATATGATGTAACTAATAAATATTATTGAGAATATTTTAGTGCAATGCATCATATGTTCACTCACCTGATGGCCGGTTTGAAGATATTATAAACAACTCGGATAAAATTGGTAGGGTGCACAAGATAGAGTGCCTTCAGGTTCTTCTTATATTTCCTATCAAGGAGCTTATACACAGACCAGAGCCATGAAAAAGGTGGCTTGTTATTTCTGTTCAGGCCAAAGTGGAAATACACAAGAGAATAATCTTGCTCAACGTATTGGTCCAGGGTGTGCATTAGGTACCTGAAAATGACTGAGCATTAAACACATGCCATTTGATCTCGGTATATTGTATTACGTCATTAATTTCCAGTATTTACTGGTAATACTCTTCATTTACAAGTCTTCTCTAAATATGCCAAGCCTTTATCAATATAACCCAACTCCTGCGTCATTGTAGACATTAAAGAAACGCACAAAAAAAAAAAAAACAACAAAAAGATTTAATCACACTTACGCTAAAAATTTTGCATGATCAAAGGTCTTGTTGCTGGGGAGCTTGCAGGCAGACACCACCACCACCTTCCTGCCATAAGGATCATCTCCAACAATGTCTACTATGCCGTGCTTGGCAATGTCAGAAAAGTCCTGTGGTACAGGTGGTGAGTGTTGTAAGGTCTTGTCCGGTTTTTTACCAAGTTCATCCTCTGCCTCCTCACCCAACTCCATCTCAAAATTTTCCTCAATAGTGCCGTCAGAAACAGGAGACTCTTGATAGTCCTGAGAAATCTGCACCAAGTCAGGCATGTCACCTGCCCTCACAAAACAGTTAATTGTCAATTCATGTTAACAAATTCAAGTCGTGTGCTTTGCAATAACAGAAAAGTATGTAGCAATAATTAGTTACATGAGATTTCAGACACTAAATTGAATAAATGCATGAATTTGTTCTGCAAATATGAACATGTGAAAAAAAATTAGTAGGTCAACAGCATAGCTACAGCCAGCTAAAATATTAAGCTCTACATATGATTAGTTTCAGCCTGCACATAAATATCTTCAGAACATAAATGTAGACCAAAAGAAACCCAAGTACAAAATGTATCTAACTTATGTACTGAAATTCAGTTTACCATAGTCTTCCAAATGTTTTATGAGAAATTGAGCAAACTCAGAATTTATGATGAAAAGCTGGCAGCAACAACCAGAGAACTTTTTACCAAAAATCTATGAGAAATGCTCAACAACCTGACAAATATCAAAAGCCTTTCACTCCTCAAAAAATAACTTCATTCTTGGTACGGTATCCTTGTCCAAGAGGATATCCTTGTATTGGTACCGGTATCCATTTTTGTAAAGCTGGGCTTCTTTACACAAACTAGCTTAGACAAATTATAGGAGACAAGTAACCTATTACCTGTTACAGGTGGGACAGCATGCAGCTCAGTGTCATCAAATTCAAGGTTAGGCTCATAGTCATGGAAGTCGCTGAGGCTTGGTAAGGGATCTTCAAGATGGTTGGCAGGGAAGCCACCTTGACGACCAGCACTGAACTGACGCTGTGGGGCACCAGGTCCTGCACAACAAAAAGCATATGGTAACAATAATTTTCCTATCAAGTAGCAGTTGGGAATGCCTTTTCTATCATAATAACTGTAAAATTTCAGTGTTCTAGAGTGAATAACTTGAAATTAGTAAGCTCCAAAAATATATAGGTGATACTTTAAGATTAAATTAATGAAGACTATGAGACTACAATTTCTGAATAATAGCCAACTATTGAAATAGAAGTCAAATATAATGCATAATAGGAAGTACCTCAATGCATAGCTGCTCTAAATATGTATGTAGAACATATAACTAATAATTAGAATGATTTAGTATTATCTACATTCAGTTTCTAACAATGATGAACTGATCAGGATTGTGTTTATGGAAATAGGAAACCCATGTATATTCTCACCTTTATTAAATTGATGGTTCATGGTATAAAAGAAGTCAAATGCAGGGACTTGGGTTTTGTTCAGGCCAAATGTTCTCAGTAAACATCTCACAGTTGTGAATTTACCTCTTATAACTTATATGGCTACTTCAAAGCTGTTTCACAATAGAAACATAAACAGTATTACTTTTTGTCATTTACAAGCAAAAATGCCAAAGAAAAAAAATAACTCCTCAAAATAGAATATAAAATCAGTAGTAAGAAGAAAAAACTAAGCAGAGACTGACCCAGCACATTGTGGAAAATATTATGGAGTCAAGCTCCATTGTCAGTTTGAAATCATTTTTAATGGTGATAATGTGAATACTTGTAGAGTTTTCTCTGCTCTATAATTTTCATCACAATGTTGTGTACCTATATATCAAATTATGTGTTGGGTGCAGAGAATACCATATTGTTCGAACTTTGAAGGGTGTACATATGGGGTAAACGCGGTATATTCCGACATCGTGGGTAATTCCGACACTTCTTGACTTTTTTCTTTTATATTAGGCTTTTTCTTAGTTCCATGCATTCGTTGATGGTTGAAATAGTGACGTCATACTTTTGCGCGCCATACTATTGCCAAAACACTAGGTCTGGGCCGTCTGGTAGGAAAATGTTGAGATCCAAAGAGAGACAGTGCGTGTCACCCAGTGAGAACATCAAAAAATGTGTCAAATTTGATAGTTGACCTTGCTCTACCAAATAGTGATAAACTGTTTGTGTAGAAAGAATATTATGGTTTGATACTGATTCTGTTGTGCCTGGTACTCGTTTCTTGGTCCATACTGACTGCTGATCCTTTGATCAGCTCTAATAAAGGTAGGAAGCTCGTCTACACTGTAGACAAGATGTCAAGATCCTGCATAACACTGTCCAGTCTGTTTTTAAACACATCGACGCTGGGAGCCTCCACCACCTGTGCTGGCAGTCTGTTCCACCTCTCCACCACACGCTGGGTGAAAAACCTTTGACGAAGGCTCGTATTGCAGCGCTGCTTCTCCAGTTTGTAATGGTGACCTGACTGACCTCTTGTGTTTGTTTTCTTTTCCAGTTTTAGTATACTATTGTCCAGCTTATAAACATTGTAAGTGTACTTGTAACACTCAATCATATCACCTCTCATTCAGTCATAGTTACAAACCAGAGATTTTTTAGAATCAGTTAATTTTTAACTTCCTCATTTACCTAAGATTTAAACCAATTTCTTATGTATGATAAGGCTGGTATCCAGGATACTTTACTGGTCTACTTATGGGCCTCAAAAATGAACTTGAGGGAGAGTCTAAAAAACTCTCTGCTTTGCCACTATGCTCATTCTTCTGTACGTCATACTAGGTATTTTCATCCGCTCACATCTTCTTTCATACTCAAGATTTTTTAACCCTGGTATTACTTTGGTTGCTCTACATAACTCAGTCTCAATGAGCTTTTTGTCTCTTTCCAAGAACGACAACAACGCTACATTTCCAAATTCTAAGTGCGGACGAACAATTGCTACAAAAAGCATCTTCATACTAGTCTGAGAGTCCACATACACAAAATGATCTCCTGATGAGACCTAAAAGTCTGTTGGCCTTGTTTACTTGAATTTCGACGTGCTGAGAAAACTTCAAACTTGTGTCCACATTCACACCCAAGTCCTTTTCAAGTTCTGTTGCTTTTAATTCAATGCGCTCTGTTCCGTACTCCCGTGCTTTCGCATATTATACTTATGGTGTCTACTTTGCCTTCCCAAATGTAGCACTTTGCATTTGTCAGCATTGAAAGTAAGCTGCCAAGTGTCTGCCCAGTAGAGTTTGAAGTGCGGCTGGAATTAGTCAATTAGTCTCACAAAATGCCAAATTTAGTCACACAGTGTTGGAATATATGGATTTGGTAGGTTTGCATTCTAAAGGCTTTTAAATAAATATGGCAACATTTTGTGACAATAAAATTTTCATAAACAAATCCTTGTAAATAATGGGTTTTCAAATAGAAAAGTTGACATTTATATATAGGCCTATCAAATTATCAATCTAGAAACAACCTACCCAGTACCCAGTAACCAGCAATGCAGCAACATCTGATGGAACCGTCACAACAATCTTCTACCAAAACCAGATGAACTACTGTGAACAGAGGCTACAAAGCAAATAAATGAGTCCTACAGTCAATCATCCATAGTGATATATAGAGCTCAGCACTCAGCAGATAACAGAAAAATAAAACTTCTAATCTACTACAAAATAAGAAACCTTGTCAATTTGTCATGAATAATAATCCCTGTAAAAATTTGGACTGGTTCAAGAAACTAATGTTGTGTATAAATTTGCATGTAATGTAATATTTATAATAACAGTAATAAAGAAGGTTATAGACTAGGTACTTTAAATATAAACTACATTGGCGATGATTGGTCTTAGTGTCTTACTAGCACAACCTATAGCCACCATCTCATTTCAGTCATAGCCTCATAGGTGTTATCTATAACTGTAATGTGCTTAAGCGGCTAAGCCCTAACCGCCTATGAGTCAGGGACAGCTGTTTCAAGAAATTGGTCACAAGTTCACACTTCACAACCATTTCATACACTTCCAAGAGTTCCAACCGTTCTTCACACTTCAAGTTATATTTTTCCTCGTGACGCATTAAACTTCTGAATTCGCTTTTTAAACCCTATCAGTTTTGGTTCTTTATTGGTACAAAAAGGGATTAACTGAGCAAATTGAATGAAATAGAGAGTGTTCCAATTAACAAAGGGGTTATAGCTCAAATGGAGCATCTTCCATTTCATCCGGTTTCCATTATCTGCAAACCTTTATGCCATAATCGTAGTCCAACTACGCACAACATAGTACAGCACTTGTATACTGCAAAATCAGCCTTCAAGTTGTTTCGACTTCTCCCTGAATTATGTTGAGACGCTCATTACTCTTAAATTTATGAGGAACAAAATTTACGGTTTTCATGAACCACAAAAATTATATATTGTTGATTTAAAGGATAACTCAGCTAGATGTTGAAACAAGAATCTTTGCTCAGAATAGTGTTGTACACCGCAATATTTATTACGCTAATGAAAGGCGTAAATTCGATTAGTTAAAAGTCGACTATATTTCAAAATCTTATAGTTGGCGTTCGCACTATGAAAAAAAGTACGAAAACCCAAGTACATGCAAGCACGCAGTTTTTCTCCTTTGAAAAGTGAACAGCGTTTGCCAACACATCATTGATTATAATTGTTTTTATTAAGGAATAGTTCAACAAATAGAACAAATTAAATCATTTAATCAGAAAAAAACGCTCAGCCTCGCTCATTGGTTCCGCCTCGCACCAGTCCAAGGCTACTTCCACCTCGAAAGCTTCCACGCCCACCCCATGCAAGCGTCCTGCCACGGTTCTGGAAAAGACCTCTTCCTCGGCCTTGTGTAAATTGTTTTGATGCCGTAACATTCCTGGCGTTGCTGTCGGAGACCCTTAACGGAACTTTTTTTTCGTCAGAGTAAGAAGTCCGCACAGCAGAGGCGACTACACTGACCACCTCAGAGACGAGTGTGGCCGGTTCCACGCTTCCGGCCTCATCGGAATATCTGCTTGACCCCCACCAGTCCTGGGTTGAGGTGACGGCACTTTGCACCTTATCAGTGTCAGTTCTCGCACGGCGCATACGGTAAGTGCAATGACTCGCGATCTCCCGACGCACTTCGCGGAACTCCTCGCGCTTCTGGTCGCTAATCACTTCATAAAGCCACGCCACGCTTTCTGCTCACCAATAAGTTACAAACAATGGTTAAAATGTTGTAAGCGTTTAAATGACATTTAAAGGCTTTGTATTTATATTTGAAGAATAAAGAGATGTTATGTTACTGTTAGAGCATATGTTGTAATATGTTTGTCACTATCTATATACTTTGATGTGCATACATACACTTACAATACATTAAATGACGATCGATTTTAAAATTATAAGTAGATAAATACGTCAGTGAGTTAGAAATAAACTGCCTCTCAATATGAATAAATATTTGTCCACAAATAATAAGAGAGACACAGTTTTCTCGCTGGCAGAGTGGAAAACTTTTGAAGCACATGCCTCCAATGCAAGAATCTTCTGAATCAATGAAGAACTTTTCCTTTTTGACATAGGGTGGAAGAGCCGCCGCTTTTGCAGGAGCCGCCACGTCAGATTTGCGGGATCTTTTTCGGTTTTTGCTCCGGTGACGTTCGAGTTCGTTTTGCCCAACATCTTCATCAGACTTTGTAACTTCTTGTCCAATTATCCGGTCAGTAGTAGGCAGGTTTTGATCACCCTCAATTGCTTTGGAAGAATCTGTTGGCAAATTCTTATGTTAATTATTCTAATCATTCATCACGTAACAAATTGTTTCAATGTACTTCAATGTAACTGAAAGAAACACGAGTGATCCAATGTGAGACATCTATCGAAAATATTAGTTAATAGAGTTAAACCCTAATTCTTACTAAGACGACTTCCTAGAGCCACAGTAGAACCAAGTGAAAAAGTAAACAATAACCATGAAGAAAGGGAACCAAAACTCACCTAGTTTGCCATCCAACAAGTCCAGGAGGCTGAAGGTGCCTGAGGCGCCAGAGAACACCAAGTCCTTCGAGATGTGTGCTGCAGCAGTGACCTGTGGCAGGCAAAACATGACAGTGCAATTGCGTTCATTGGTAAAAAAAAACACTACAACCATGACGACTCAAATTATTAAAATGATTGTTTTGCTTCATTACTTATGCATACTAAATTAAATTTTGTAATCATTAATTGGATTAAAAATTTAAATGATCTCAGTTTCCAATAGATAAATAAAAATTCGTTGCTCTATATATGCCCATCTATCCACTTGATTGCTCGTTAGCTATCCACATTCGTTCAGGACAAATTTATGAACAATTGCACATCAAAATTCTGAGACGAAATCTAGTAGGAATGTTTTATGTGTGAAATATAACTTTTCTACACAAAACATGACTCCGAAAGACTATATAGAGAAGCGCTTTTAGTCGAATAGTTCAGTGGAAATTTCTGTCATGATAGCAATAGCCCATAAAAAGCAAGGTAAGACAATTACAAAAGTTTCAAAAGTTATCACTTCAACTCCATATACATAAATAAATAATATTGTAACCACAAAATAAATAATAAACTACGACACAGGCTTCTTAAAAAACTGCAGTAGTATCACCTTCACAGTATCACAGGTAGATGCAGCAGAGGGCTGCTCGTTGTCAGCTTGAGGAGCAGGCTTGGTGGGATCATAACGCCGCATCACGGGTACTCTGCTCATCAGTAAACTTTCGAAATTTAAATATTCTTTTTAAAAATAAACTATTAGGTCATAAATTTAAAATTTCATGCCAATTAATGACAAATTTCCAAAAAAAAAAATAAAAAGAAAAAGTACAAAAATAAAAAGAAGAGCCACAATCCGTCTATATACATTTAATTTAAATTGCATTAAAAGAAAATATTTTACACTGAGAAAAATATGCACTAGAACCTGCGGTGCACTTGCTGGAACTCACTTTGGTTTGGTGTGCGGTGACTCAGCATGGAGGTTCTCGTGGGTCCCGTCACCCTCATGGAACTGAAATGGTTATTTGTTTGTCACTGAATAATGTAGCATGAGTATAATTAGGGGATATTAGTGGCAAGAACATAAGGTTAAGGAATATCGTGACATGAACAGAATTTTTGGGAATAATATGACATGAAAATAACATGAGTAGAACGTATTTAAATATGAATACCATGGCAGGAGTCTAATGGGAATAATTCAGAACGAAAATAATTACATGGGAATAGCTTTAATTTTATATCAAGATATATATGGAAAAATCTTGACATAAATAAGGAATAAAAATTGTAGAAGAATAACTTAGCAAAAAAATCTAATGGAAGTAGTAGAAGGAGTAGTAGTAGAAGATTTACTAGCGCTTCAGATAGCTATCTATTTCGCGCCGGAGGTGAGATCTTCAGTTACGTCAAAGATGTTTGGTCTCTTCCGTCTTCAAGGCTTATAGCCTGATCCATTTTAGGCGCAGGGGCTGGGCGATAGATTCCCTGCTCATGGAGCGAGGGTCCGCTCCGACTTCATGTATCAACTCCAGCATAAGTTTAGTGAGGCTTGGTCTAGGTGATGGGAAGGTGCACTTATAGTCTCGCGAACGGCGGTGGTGCAAGTGCATATGACCGACAGGCGGTGACGTTACGGGGTCATGCTAAATCTCTGGCAGCAGGTTGCATTCAATCAGGTATCGTCTAAGGTTATCGGTTTCGAAGTTACTTCGCCGGTCCTCATCCGCCCTTCGCCGGTCAAGGGCGGATGTGTTGGGGTAGCAATTTTGTCGGATGTCGTTGTGGCTAGGGCACTCCGCCAAGACATGCAGAACTGTCAGGGGCACCAGGCAGTCGTCACAATATGGTATAGGGCGCCGCTCAATCAAGTAGCCATGGGTGAGGCGCGTATGGCCAATCCTCAGTCTACACAGCGCTATCTCCATTTGTCGGGATCTCTGGTACGATGAGCTCCATGTTGATACACTGTCCTTGATTGTTCTCAGTTTATTGTTTCTCGTGTTCAGCCACAGCTCTCACCATATGTGGTGAACGCTGGTCCTGGTGCGGGGGTAATGGTCGTGACATGGGACGTCCTCCCTATAAATGGCCGCGTCGGACGAGGCAGCGCCCACCACCGCCTCATCCGCCCTGTCGTTTCCCCGCACCCCCACGTGTCCCGGGACCCAGCAGATGCTAATCGTTTTTCCCGCCTCCACCAGGCGCAAAAGCCAGGTCAGGATTTCCAAGATGATAGGATGTTTGCTGTTGTAGGTTCTCAGGGCCTGCACTACGCTTTTGTAGTCTATAAATATTGTAAAGTTACGCTCGGGGTGGTCATCTATAAGGGCCAGGGCACAGAGGACGCCAGACAATTCCGCCGTATAAATTGAAGCGTTGGGGCTCAGTCGTCTTGATATTATTGTTGTGTCGGTCGTAGCCGCACACCCCACTGCGTCGTCCGACTTTGAGCCGTCAGTGTATATAGGGGTCGAGTTTGTATGCTTTGTAGTTGCGCGGTACAGGAAAAGGTTTTTCATCGCAGTTGCCTGCAACTCGAATTTTAGTGGGAGATTTTGATCCGGGCAGAAGGTGCTGATGGGGATTCGCCACGTGGGAATGTCCTCGAACGTGACGGGCATAACCTGCATCTGTTGGGCCTGTGTTGCTGCAAAGAGTGCACCGTAGTCTTCAGATGATGGGATGTTATATGGAAATGGGTTTGCTTGGTCTTCGGTCATTACAGTGAGCCATGTTGGAGATAACGGTAGTTGTTTGAGGCGAGTAATCATCTGTAGCGTAAGCTGCGCTCGGCGGAGATACAATGGTGGTTCTCCACTTTCTGCATAGAGGCTGATGGTGGGGGATATTCTGTATGCTCCAGTACATATCCTGATGGCAGCGTTGTGTACTGGGTCTAGTAGCGCTAGTGTGGTTTTTCTGGCATATTGGTATATGGTACACCCATAGTCTAACCTGGCTCTTAGTGTGGCCCTGTAAAGGGGGAAAAGGGTTACACGGTCAGATCCCAACGACTGTCCGGTTAGGGGCTTCAGCAAATTCATCCTCTTAAGGACGCTGCCTTTTAAAGCCCGCACATGGGGTCTCCATGAGAGTTTGTTGTCCCATGTCATACCAAGAAACTTGGCTGTGGGGGACACAGCGATTTGTTGGCCTTGTAGGAAAAATGGAGGGGGTTGTTCTTGAGAGCGACTTCGCTAGAAGTGCATGGCAACGGTTTTGTCGCTTGAGAATGAGAATCCGTGAGCCGTGGTCCACTGGTTTGCGCGGTCTATGGCGGTTTGTATTCTGCGTACGAGAGCGGGTAGATAACGAGATGAGGCAAAGATCATGAAGTCATCGACATAAAGCGAGGATTGTATGCTCGGGGGCAAGCTAGTGGTGACATCGTTGATGGCCATCAAGAACAGGGTGCAGCTAATCACACATCCCTGCGGAACTCCCTGGTATTGCACCCACACAGGCGAAAAAGAGCCCCCCACCTTCACCCTGATGGACCGCTCACGCAGAAACTCCCTGATGTATAGGGCCAGGTTGCCCCTAATCCCAGCCCTGTGGATGGTCTGAAGTATGCCGTGTCGCCAGGTGGTGTCATGGGTTTTTTTCATATCGAAGAATACACAGATGGTGTGTTTTCCTTCAGTTTTGTTTTGTACTATATGGTTTTGAAGTCGGACTAATGCTTCCGTGGTGCCTCTAAGTGGACGGAAGCCATATTGTACAGGAGAGATTAAGTTTTTGTTTTCCAAGTATTGCACAAGCCGATTGTTAATAATTCTCTCCAGTACTTTCCCCACGCAGCTGGTCAAGGCGATGGGGCGATAGCTGGATGTCTCTGTTGGTGGTTTATTGGGTTTGAGGAAGGCCATGACAGTAGCGGTACGCCATTGCGTAGGAAATGAGTGCGAGGTCCAGATTTTATTGTACAAGGCCAGGAGGGTCGTAACTGCAGTCGGGTGCATCTTCTTAAGCATTTTGTAATGAATACCGTCTGGTCCGGGGCTGGTGTTCTTCTTAAAATGTTGGAGTGCGCAGAATAGTTCAAGGTAGGTGATTGGGTCATTGTATGAGAAGATGTTGTCTGTTCTGAAATTTAGATATTGTGACTCTTGTTGTCGTTTTGTGGCGAGGAAGGATTGAGGATAGTGATTTCCGCTAGTGTTATAGTGCCGTTCACTTTATAGATAGTGCCGTTCACTTTCACGCATGGCTGGCTGTGACCGGTTCTTCCTTCAATTTTCTTGATCCGTTGCCATATTTTGGACATGGGGGTGCTGGTGTTCAGGGATGATGTATACCGTTGCCAAGACTTCTTCCGGGCTCCATCCTTAACATGCAGGGCCAGGGCTCGAGCTCTCCTGTATGCAATTTTGTCCGCCACATTGCCGGAGCGCTGGAACCGTCGCAAAGCCCGTTTTCGGTCCAGGTTGTCGCGAGCACAGTCGTCATCCCACCATGGAACGCGATGTCGGACTGGTCCACCTCTGGAGCGGGGAATTGCTATGCTCGCAGCGACTCTGAGGGTGCGTGCAAATTTTTCCGTCATCTGATCCACTGGCAGGTCCTGTTCTGGGTCTTCCATGCGGGTTAGGGCCTCAAAAGTTTGCCAGTCTGCTCTTTTCAGGATGTATCTTGATTGCATGACTTCGAGTTGGTGGGTCTCGTAGTCTATTGCGATCGGGAAGTGGTCGCTACCAAAAGTGATGTCAGGGTGCAGAGGCTCCACGATGCCCTGTCCACGATGTCAGGGTGCAGAGGCTCAGGTCAATGGCTGATGTGGTGCCAGTCTGTACATGAAAATGGGTAGCCTGGCCTGTGTTTAGGGGGCATACGTCGGAGTTAGTTAAAAAATGCTCAATGATTCTCCCTCGTTGGTCGTTTCCATCGCTTCCCCAGGCCGCGTGTTTGGCGTTGAAGTCGCCGACTATGAGGAAGGGTCTGGGGAGTTGTTCCGTGAGATTTCTCATATCTTCAGCAGTCAGTGGGTGGCCTGGTGGAATGTAGATGTTACATATCGTGTGCATTCTATTGTTTATGTTCGTTTGTACAGCCATCGCCTGGATAGGGGAGTTTATAGCCAGCCTGATGCAGGTGGCACTAAGCTTCATCAAAATCAGAAGGCCAGACCCAGGTCTGGGGTTGGGTGTGTCTGAAAAAGTTTCTATACGGTAATTCTGTGGTGGGGTCGGGGTGAGGTTTCCCAGCATCGTTTCCTGCATGCAAACACAGGTCGGCTGCCTCTCCCGTAGCACGGCCGTGAGATCGCGATAATTACGGCGGTACCCCCGGCAGTTCCAAAGTATGATCGTCAAGGCCATGATTACTTTGTAGGTTTTGTCCGGGCATCCACGCGCGGTGGAAGAGCTTTAGGCTTTATTGATAGGGATGTGAGGGTAACGGTGTGTTCCGGGGGTCTTCTTTCTTCATCCCTCTCGCCCCATCTGCGCATCTCCACCATGGGGGAAGGAGGAGCAGCAGCATGCAGGAAGCGTGGGGGGATGGGGTATTTATTGAGAATGTCACTGCTAAATTTGGGTACGTGGGTAACTCGCTCCAGCCACCGCACCCTGTAAGCCACGTCAGTACTTGGCGCTTTCCTTACTTTCTCTCTGCGGGATTCTTCCTCGGCAGAGTAGTATCCGCTTTGGTGGCGTTGGCTCTGGTGCGTTGGCTGTGATTTCGGTATTTTTGCTTTTGACATTTCAGACAAAGGAGAGGTGGTGCTCTGCATTCGTTCCCTCGCTGCGTTACTCGTAAGAGGTTCTTTTAGTGGAGATTTAGGTGCAGTTATTGGTGGGCTGTGAAACCTGTACGCGGGTTTATCACGATGTTCTATGGTGGTAGCTTCTTGTTTTTGGCTCGGGTCCTCAGCTTCTTCTGTACATGTCTGAGTAGCTACATCGCATTTAGTCACCACAGGCATGGTCTTGGAGGCTCCTTTCGCTTTAATAATTCAGTATATGGGGTTATGGTTTGCCGGGTTGCTTCGGCAAAGGTCGTCCGTGTGTTAACGTATCGGCTCCCTATCATTCGCTTTGCTTCCCCATAGCTTATGCGTTCTTTTTGTTTGGGTGGCTATTATTTCTTCTTCCATTCTGTAAGTAGGGCATATGTTGGAGCTGGCAGGATGTGGTTGTCCGCAATTGGCACATTTGACTGGGTGAGTGCAGGGCATTTCGTGTTGGTTCTGAGAGCAGTTGGCGCAAATAGCAGCGGGCTCACGACACGACGCCGCCCCGTGGCCAAAGCCCTGGCACTTGAAGCACCGGCGAGGCCTCGGGATGTAAAGTCGCACCCGGCAGCGCGTCCAACCTACCGCAACGAACGGCGGGAGCTGGCAGCCATTAAAAGTCAGAATATAGACTGGGGTGGGCATCAGTACGCCCTGCTCCCTTCTCTGGGTACGGTATACGGACTTGACTACGTACTGGTTCAGTTCAGTCAGTAAATCTTCGTCTGTATAGTTCGGGCGGTTAAGGTACCAGATCGTGCCGCGAGTCTCATGAGTTTCTCGTGGGCGGCAGCTGTAACTGGTACGTTGACTAAAGTCTTTATGGTCGTTATGGCTTGGCTCTGTTGGTAATTTGCTACTACCTCAACAAGGAGCGCTCCGTTCCAGGTCTCTGTGATCTTATTTGGTTTGCCCTTCAGTGTTGCCTGTATTTCTCTGCTGGCTCTTATAACATCGATACCGGAGAGGTGTCGACCGTCATTGGCTGTTATTGTGAAAAACTTAATCTGTTGTTTGGGCATCTGTCCAGAGGGTTCACTTTGATTTTCCAGTATACTGGGTCTCCGGAATGGGCGGGTATTCGTTCGTCTGGCTTTCATTCCTGGTTTCGGGTTCCCATTATATTCCCGATTTCGTTCAGGTTTATATGGTTCTAAAGTCAGTTCTGGTTTTTCGTCTGTCCGCTGGCTCCTCCGGCTCGCTAGAGTCGAGTGCAGCAGCTCTGCCGATTCGGCGGTTTGAGAGGTCGCGATAGGTTCCATGGTGGAGAGCTGGGTCGTTGTAGGAGAGATAGTTACAGGAGGCGCATCATTGTACACTAAGGAAGTCTGAAGATAAAGTTAACAAATGAAATCAATAAGTATGAACATATGCATTACAGGAACAAACTCTCCCACATCGATTCTAATGATCAACACATAAAGCAACTTACAGATGTTTCTATTGACTCGTCATCATCCCGCCATGCTGAACTATATGATGCCAGGCTGGGCAGCAACTCATCTTTTACGGTAGCCTGGGGAACAATCAAATAGGTAACACAAGTTGCAAAATACCTTGTAGAGAAACTTGCCTATAATATCCTCAGTTATCATAACAAGTATTTTTCATTCAATTTCATCAATAAAATTAATTTTAGTCAGCTAGAATAATTATCATTAAATAAAGCAATTCTGATTCAAAAAAATTCATGTCTGCTTAGTGTTGCACTGGAATTTTTTTTAGACAAAACATTGCACTGCAAAAATCTCATTTTAAGCAACATGGAAATTTGTTATAGACTGCCACATTAAGCATTTATTTGAGTTTAAAAATATAAATTATGTATACATAAACATGATGATATAAAAGCTAATGGATGATTTTTACAATATGGAATGAACTGTACACAATTGTACCTAGTTTAGTTCATTTATGAAATTATGAGCAAAAATCTCACCTGTTGATCAGGATCATTTTTGATTTGAGAATAGACATCATAAGTTGTTTTTTCTAAATAGGGGCCAGATTTTTTCCATGAATCCGTTTGGGCCTTATAATTAAAATCATTGCTGTAATTATTGTAAGAATCATCAGCTGAAAAATTATTAAGAGAAAACTTTTCCTTTCTCTCATGCAGGTTGTGAACACCAGCCCTGTATTGTATATCATTGGTGGATGTTGCAGAGGAAGGTTTGCCAGCTACTCTCTCTTCTCTCTCACGCTTGATGCGCTCAATGAAACTTTCTTGTGCCCGTTCTACTGATAACGTTGCTCCATTCAGTGTTGATCCATTCAATGAGTAGATACCTGAAGAAAGAGAAGTATAAATTATATAACCCACATAAATTGCAAAACAATTTTCACTCTAAATGTTTTGGTGTAATTTAGTAAGAGAAACAATGCTGCCACTATCATTATAAGTAACCTGGATTTACAAATCTTAGCAATTTCACCCTCCTTCATCAGGATGGGTAAAATCCTACTTTTTCTAACATATCACAGCAACAATAATACAATATCACATCATTTTTGTGGGTATCATCATGATGGTATGAAATCTTGGTGATCCAAATTCCAAGGTCATGTAGTTTGGCTCAATCAGAAATATAGCAGCTTGCAGAAGTGTGAAAAATATATATATATATATATAATGTAATTATTTGAAAATTCGAACTTCCATGGTTCATCATCACACTCTACCTAAATATTTGCCAAAATTACAAATTTTAAGCATTTTTAAAATTTATTTTTTAGTAAAAAGTGGCAGAAACCAGACAGTTTAAATCCTAATTTTGAATCTTAGAACTTGGCCAATTTTTTTCATGACAAAAAATTATGATTTATGAGACAGGTCTCAACATAAATTTAATGCTTGAATAAAAGGTTTCTGGCATCAAAATTTGTTTAAACTAAACAAAAAAGCTCCAAAATATGGTCACAGCTAGGTAGGTAGGGCTGAGCAGGTTTTTCTTCACATTTGACATCAATCATCATTCATCAATGACATGGAGAGTAAAATCAGGTAGTCTATTTATAAACAAAACGTACTTTAGTCACTTACATTTCTCAATATCAGAATGAGCTCCATCCAAAGTGGCAAAAGCAAACCTCTTGACTACCTCACCACTAATAACATCTTTCTTTTCCTTTATTTCAATATTCACCACTGTTCCATACTTGGATAGCTTTTTTTCAAGAATTCCTTGCTCAAGATCAGCACTTACGCCTCCAATGAATAATCGCGAAGCACCCATAGTTCTAACTTCTAATTTGCTGTGACAGTTATAAATGTTAACGTGTCAAAAAATAAAAAAAAGGATTAAAAACAAACGTGTTGTTTAACAATCTGGGTATCAACGCAGTTAGTCGCAGTAAGTAAGCACAAGTCACGCCAACACAGAAAATAGAAGGATCACTAGTTAACTCGGGGTGCACGGAGTCGTACACTACCGTCCACAAACACACATTGTTCAAACTAAAAAAACTACCGCAGGAAGAAATTAGGCTGCGAGTGATTTTTTTTTAATTTGATTTTAATACTTCGGGTATGCAGGTAGCACACCTCCCAGCCTGAGCACAACTCAGATTTTGATCACTCCACTTCACTTGTTGATTTCACTTTGTATTTTTCTTTCAGCACTTCCACCAACCAGTGTGGCAGTAAATAGTAAGGAGAAAAAGAAAAATAGTAATTAGACTTTAAGGAACTTCATAGCCTGGTCACCATTTGCAGATGTGCAAATATTGACCCAGATGACAGATGGCAGCAGTGCCTCTCCTCATTGGGGTGTCTCCACTGCCGAGAGCCGAGGAAAGATCCCACTGAAGTGAAAGGCCTTCTTGAGCGGAAATCCCTTTGTTGGTTGGAGAATTGTGTGCAGTGTAGAATGAAATGCTCAATAGTGTCCTCCACGTTGCATACTGAAGAGTTACTTGAATTGGCCAAGTTGAATCTTGCCAAATGAGCATGGACACCAGCATGTCCCAGGCACAGGCAAGACACAGTGCACTCAACTGAGCGTGGCAGCAATCCATAGTCAACAAAGGCTTTTTCGTGTCCCAAACTTCTTCAAAAGGTTCCCTTGCCTGTTTCTTGCACATCAGCAGCCCATTGGCATGTCCATTCTTGTACCGTGAGAGACTTCAAGGAACAGATCCACTCCTCAAAACACAGCCGAGATCTTGCTGAGCAGTTGTTTGAGTGTGCCAAATTGGCTACTCTGTCTGCGACCTCATTTACATGAATACCACTGTGGTCTTTGACCCAGCAAAGCACCACCCTGTCAAGTCCTTTCACCAGCATCAACTTCTGTATCTCAAAGATAATTGTGCGATACGAGTGCCCAGATGAGTTGGATAAAAGCTGCAGAGCTGACCTTGAATCTGTCAGAATCAGGATGGAGAGATCCTCCTCCTTCAGAGATCCGTTCTCAGTGACAAGTTGCATGGCCTTGTGTATAGCAAACAGCTCTTCACCGAGAACTGTGTGCTCTCGCCGGAGCAACCAGCCAGTCGCCAGCTGGTTTGAAGGAATGAAAAGTCCAGCGGAAACAGACCCATCTTCAGACTTAGAGCCATTGGTATAAATTTGGATATGTCTAGGATAGTGTCCCAGGAGAAAATCATTTCAGAAATTCTGAATAGTTCGATGAGGCATATTATTTATGGGATGGTCTTGCAAGTTGAGTAGAATGTTTGCAGTGAGATCCACTAGAGGAGGGATCAGACCATCAGGGGAGTTGCAGTTCGCCGAGGGAGTGAGAGGCCCAGCATGCAAAAGCTATAATGAGCTCTGTTGACAAATGGTGTGTCACGGTGAAGTCCCTGATCAGTGAGTCCCAGCAAGGGACTCACCCATTTAATGAACAGATATAAGGACCGCAGATTCAAAGGTGCAATGAAGCTCTCACTATTGGTGTTGTAAGGCGGGCTCCTTGGATGCATCGGATGGCAGAGTTTTGAACAGTTTCAAGTTGTTTCAACAAAACCTTAGAAATATCCCATAAAATTGTTGAGCCATACTCCATCTTGCTCCTTATAAAGGCCACATATATTCTGCGCAACAATCTCCAAGAGGACCCCAATTCACTGAGCCAAGTGCACGGTGCACCTACATTTGTTTCAAACAATCGGTGCGCGTTATCCTAACATGTTCCTGATATGTAAGGCACGGAGAGTCAAAATGAAATCCCAACACTTTTTGGCAGGCCACATACTGAATATTGCCGTTACAGACTTTAAGTGTGGTAGCAGGGGCTGACCTGAGTGATGTGTATACCTGATACAAGCACTTTGCAGGGTTAAGGGGAGCGTCTACCCTAAAATTTATCTCGGCTATTTACGAACGGATCACTCTGAAACTTGGTACACATATGTAAAACAGAATTCTAAGACATTTTTGTTCGTGTGAATTTTTCGAAAAAAATGAAAGAAAACGTGAAATTCTTAGAAAACGGCCAAAAAAGGGG